TTTTTGTTATGAATTTATTTTCCAGGCCAATTAAAATTTTATCTATTTGTTGTAATTCTGTGTATATTCCATATTTCTTTTACATCTTCTTTGTATTTCGATTGTAGTTGGAGATTCGATATAAAGTGTGACTCAATTGATGTTGCTATTTTTAGTTCAGTGGGTATTATAATGTAGTAAAACCATAGGGTTGGAAGCCACTTTGAAGGTGGTCTAGTTCACCTTCCTGCCTACAGCCAGATCCTCATACTATCACAGACCGATGGCTCTCCAGCCTTTGCTTGAAAACCTCCAATAAATGGGGTTCTTATTCCAGGAAAAAGACGAATTCATAGTTCTAAGGAAGTCCCTGCTTATTTTGAGTTTGGATCCTCTTCTGTAAAGCTTCTAATAATTGAATCTAATCTTACTCTTGGCCATTATGGAGAATAAATCTGTACCCTATTTCTCATGGCAAAGCCCTCCAGCCATGGAAGACTATTGCCATGTCTCCCATTAGTCTTTTCTTTAAGCTAAAGAGAGTTCTTGGTGCTCTCTGAATCTGGTTGTGAATGAATGTGGGATTTTGCTGCCTCTTTGTATGTGGAAATGAGCTCTGCCAATTTTGGTGGGAGCATGGTTTCTTTGTGGTGGCTTCTTGATTAAAGTGTTGTTTTCTTCCTGATTGTCTAGTGCTGATCCCTGCTTATCTCGGTGTTGGTTGCTGGGTGTGTTATATTTTAGCTTTTCTTGTTTCTTTCCTAGGGTTTTTAATTACCTCTTTTGAATGCTGTGTATATGTTGATAATTTCTAATCATTTATTCAGTCAATCAATTTGTATGGATGCCCACCTCAGCAAATGATTCTGGGTTGCAAGAAATTTTAAAGTAAATTAGAACAATTTCTCAACAGAAATACAAACATTAGAATACAGAGAAGCCAAGCAAGATATTACTGATTGCCAGCATGAAGAAAATGAGACCTTCAACATTCAGGCCCAGGCCTGAGCACAGAACCAGATCTTATTTCCTTGCAAAAAGCCAACAGGGTCAGGACCATCTAAATCCCTGGAGGGTGAATGTGGCAGAAAAAAGCAGTCCTCCTTGGCCCTGCCAGCTGGCATTCCCTGACCAATGGGACCCACAACATGCCCATCCTACTGGCCTGGATCAGACAGGTAGAATTCACTGGAAAAGACTACCCATCAGGTAACCCAGACCTGGGGCATGAAGGGTTTTAAGGATGGCAACCGGCACCTGGAATTGCACCCAGGAACACATTGGCTGCCAGTGCATCTTGTAGAGGGGTCAAGTAGCGGTTGCCCTTTCCTAATCTTGTGGCTGCATTGTGCACCAGTTGGAGCTTCCAAATACTCTCCAAGGGGAAACCTCTATATAGCACATTGCAGTAGTCCAGACTAACCTTAGCTCTACCTGGTCTGTGGAGGCTGGTTTGTCTGAATGTCAGGCTTCCAGAAGTCTCCAGCATATTTGAATTCTATTTGGCCTAAAATGCTAATAGTTTCCCAGCTAAAACTACGATTGAGTCAGCTTCTGTGTTGTTGTTCTCTTCTGTTGGATATATATTTCCATATCATTCTTCATGAAATTTCACCTCCAAGCCCCTCACCATCTTTCTATTCTTGGCATTCTTTCCATCTCTTATATAATGGTTGGCATTCTTTCCATCTCTTATATAATGGTTGGCATTCTTTCCATCTCTTATATAATGGTT